TGGGTAAGTCTTTTAGAAAAAAAAATTTTATTCTTGAGAAATGTACAGCACAGTGTGAGCATTAGTGGTGAATTAGCACTGAATGAATTCGAGCTAATAAGCAAGACCCTGAATTGAGTTATCTGAAGTACATATCTGTATTTACTTCAGCAGCCTTTGGCTTTGGGGATTTCTGATCTTAAATCAGCTAAATTTGAAAAAGTCCATGAAACAAAGTCCTCATAGTACACTTCTTCCCAACACAGCCTGTCTTCGCTCATGATCAGTAGGTGGGAACGTAGGGTTGCACACACACAGAGACAGACTCCTCGTGGTTAGCATCTCTGCAGGTGCATACTCAGTCTACGAGAATTATAGCCCCCTCGATGGTAATGTGGTCTTGGGACAGCTATTCTATCAGCTGACAGTAGGGTTCGTGATTTACCTTTTTTGGTCACATTTCAATACCTCAATCCAACAGGCCATTTCACAGTGAACAGTAACCCACTGTGTATATGGTGTCTGGTTCCTTCTAGATTTAGTTTCTATTTCAAACTCAAACACAATATGGCTGGAAAAGTATCTAATGCCAAGTACAAATTTCTCATATGCACTGCATCATCACTGTCAGTTTACTCTACCTGGCCATCTTCCACCCAGGCAGGTAGCTACATTCATCATTCCTGTACGTGGACACCTTTGTTAGCTGTGGTACAGCAGCACCTTAAACGAAGGTGTTGTCTAACCAAAGCTTGTGCAACATGGAACCCCTCACATCCAGAAAAATCTACAGAATCGAAATCCAAAGGTCATTTATGCTTGTATCTTGTGTCACTGTGTACATGTATGACTGAATTTCGTATGTATACCAGAATTCCACCTTTATAAATAAACAAGGCCTCCTTTATTAAAAATAATGATTATAGTTATTTAAATGTTTAGGAAACTATCTCAACCCTCAAAAAAGTAAAGCACATTCCTTTCAATCTTCAGGTCTTCTTCAGCTGGAAGGCAGATCTCAAAAAGGTATATAGCTTAACTCTCAGGTGCTGAGTTTTTACTTTCTGAAGCCAAAGGAAAAACTATACATCGTATCTTATCTAGGCTGCATATAATCAGGTATTCGAGTCCAACAGTAGGAAAGCACGGGTTACATATTACTTTCATGATTATGTTTTACTTCAAGATGGAGACAAAGTAACTGTTGAATGCTGGAAATCAAAGGTTCTGTGTCAAAATGAGGCTCTGCAAGTTGTCATATATCTTAGTCACATGAAAGACATGGGTTTTTTACTAATCACTGGAGAAATCTGAATATTTAAGGCAATAATCTCATTATTCCGCATATATGTTCAATGTCTGACCACAAAAATGTGGATATTGACTTAGGGTAAAAGTATACACATATGGATATAATTCAATGTACCGGAGGCAACTTTCAGCCTTCGTAGGTACAGTTTATTACCAGATACTTTTAGAAGTCAAAATATTTCCCTCTTTACATAGCATAATGGAATTTATTCATCTAATTTGATTACAAAGCTGCACACTGAAGAGCTGAAGATGAGATAAATAGTTTCCTTTTTATATAGTTATTAATCACAGTTATTATAAGCATCACTGTCATAAAGCCATAGCCAGAAAGAAACCTATGGACAGCATTCATATCAGTGGTGTCAGAGACTTAAATCATGGATTAATTTAATGGGTAAATTTTTACCCATATTCAAGGAAAAAACAAAGTATTCACTGAGTTCACTGCACCAGGATTTCAGGAGGGAGACTGGGCTAAAGTTAGCCCAGGGATATTAACTACATCATATTACAGTAGAATATGGGAAGAAAAAAAATCTTCCCATTAATGTCTTTAAGGGGGTGTATTAATCGTTTCATTCTATTTCAATGTCACCCAAAAGAATTCTGCAGCTATATCACCATTACTGTACCTGATGCATTATAAAGAAAGGAGTTTTCTAGTAAATTCTGCAATTTACATTATGTCATTTAGACCCTGATTACTTTCTGTAAAACCTTACTGATATCCTTCCAAATGTATTTTATAGGATTTTCCGAAAGAATAGGAGTGAATCTGTTCCAGAGTCTTGTTATCTCATTATATAGTTCTAGTAAGCACACTAACTTGAGGGAAGAAGTAGTGGGTCCTAGGCACACATTATAGCTTATCAGTAGCCACAGACTCATTTTGCAAGACCACAGACGACCACAGTAGTGGCCAGCACCATCAGCAGGGGGGAAAAGACTTGCACAAGACAAAGACAGAGCTGGGAACAGAAGAAACTCTCCAACCCAGTTGCTCTATCCACTGATTGGCAGTACCTCACAAGCCACACAAGATAATGACAGCCAGAACGGCAACCGAGGGAGACGGTCGATACGATGTGGCTTTATACACAACACCCTTTGCCTTCTTCCTGCCACCTGCATTCACACCTGTTTGTCACACTAGCTTGCTTGTGCTGAGTTAATACAGAACTTGGTGCTGATGCGGTCACCTGAGCATGAAGTGCTAGAAAAGAAAAGAATGGAATGACCAAGCAACTTGAAGGGAATCCAGACAAAAAAATCTGCTTAATGCTTGCTGAGTTTATGCCCAGTAGCAAATTAATTCATAAAATTACAATCTGTGAGTGACAATCTGTAATCCAGAGTAGAGTCTTACTTTACTGAATGACTAGTGCATGAGATGCATTTCTGCTACTTTTCTGGACAATCCATAAGTTAGAGGAAGCTGATATGTTACTGTAAAATGAAATTTGAATACAAGGAGCATTTTTACAGGTTTTATCTTACTTACATCTTTCCAACTGCTATTGTCATCTGTCTCCCAGGTGTTCCTGGTATGCCAGGGAAGCTCTCCTTTTAAAAAGTGAGCACTTTTATTTTCATTCCCTTCCAGCAGCCGTAGCAAATATTTTGAGATTTCTTCCCACTGCAGATAGTCTTCCAGCTGCTTGATATTTTCAGGTACTGCTGAAAACGGGGTCTTGTTTTCTTCATAAACATAAGGAAAATCTCCAGTGCTCTTTTTCCCCATTAAATGTCCTGTAACAACAATGACAGTAGCATGAAATTACCCAAAACAGGTATAACTTTGATTGTTCAAACATCAGCTGGAAGTTGTTATTGACTAATAGTATGAAGAGAAGGGAAGGGATTAGATGATGCCAAAGTTGAAGCACAACTGGCATTGGAGATTTTGTCACAGTGTCACACACAATTAATTTCCTCTGTCTCTTATGCTATGTTGTCAGGGAAAACGTTGCTGAGAATGGGGCAGAGATAACCAAGCATTTTTGCCTGGAGCTAGGGAGAGGCACCTGGTGAGATTTGCTGGAATAAGTGGGTGGAGAAGCTGTAGGTTTTAGGCTTTCCCTGCCTTGGCGTGGGATGTGGGAACTGTAGTGTAAGCCTATGTTCCAGGGCCTTTCTAGGAGCTAAACTGGATGCACTTTTGATATACCATACTTTCCTGTCATCAAAATGAAATCATAGTTGGCTTTAGGCTGCAAAGGAGATGACTGGAAACGGGAGGGGGAGCGACAGCACTGGAGGAGCCTCCTCCAGGCTGAGCGCCCCAGGGCCCTGGCTGGGACCAGGGCTCCGCAAGGTGTTAGCTGCGCCTTGGGGTGCTGGGGAGCTCGTGGGTCCCGCCCAGCTGCCTTCGGGCTTGGGTCTGGGTTCCCGCATCTATGAAGAAAGGTAGCGGTAGGAAACATAATCGCCAAATAAACACATCAAAGGTAGCAGGGAAAGCTGCATTACCCCGCACCCTCTGCCCCGCACAAGTGCGGGGTGCTGCGGCGGAGGCCGAAGGCTGTCCGGGACGCGGGTTGCTTCCGCAGTAGCACTGCTCCGCACCCGGTGCTCGGGGGCGGG